TAGATTCATTAATAATTAGTTCATTTATAATCGTGGGTTTCTTTCCCTTTCCGATCAAACTATTAATAGTTTTCCAAGCCTGCTTTGGATTGCACTTTTGGTTACCAATCTTTTTAGAATACTAGTCTGTTTTGGCTTTCCTTAATTCGGTATTTGTTTGATTTCTGGCTTTTTTATAAATGAGCCAATCAGATTCTTGTTTAGTAATAATTGCTTTTCTTTTCAATTTTTCTCTTTCGGTTATGAGCATTTAATTTTGCTTGTAATCCAAGGGACACTTTTTGATTTTATCTTTTTGTTTTGACGTGGTGCATGCTTATCCAGGACCTCTAAAGACTTTTTTCCAAATCTCCCACATAGTATTTGAATTATCTGGAAAATAATAAATATGATCCTAAGGTTGATTTCGCAAATCCTTAAGAAATTTTTGATCATTGAATTTCTTCATGTTTCTAATTTCAACAATATGTACATGACGTTTTACTGAAAAATTTATTTCTCTTATTGCGAAAATCATGCTATGATCACTAATTCCCGTATGTATTACCCCAGAGTCAGAAATTTTCTCTGGTCTATTTGTAATAAAATGATCAATAAGGGTGGATGTTGATGATGCTTCATCAATCATTTGTGACAATTGATAAAGCTCATATATGGATTGTAACATCTTGAAGCAGCTCATCCTCTAGCGACGGCGGATCATCTCCTCGGCACTCCTCAGTTAAATTTGTCACATCATTGTCAAATAAGCTGATTGTGGAATCACCGTGACAGCTAACACGTGGATCGAACATATTGGACTTAGTACTTACTAATCTGCATAAATTTTATGATCCCACATCAGTTGAAATCCCCCCCCTTCGGGCTGTCAGATCACAACACATTTTCCATCTGCCCGAAGCAGAGAGCGCAAAATCTTTCCAGACGACGAACTGTCCTAAAAAGAGACACTCGACCGTCTCGTAAAATGGAGCTTGGCCGTTATTTTAGTGAAATAAATTCGAGTTCATTTGAGGATCTAGACACTTGTGATGAAAAATGCGAATTAATTTCTGACATTATCTCCACCGCGGTCAACTTTATTATGCCGGAACGGAAACTTAAATTCACACTAATGATGCACCATGGGTTACTGAAGATTTTAAACGATTGATAATGTTGCACCAACGCGCCTCATCCGGAAACTTACAGTTGTTTAAATTGTACCTCAATAAAGAGAATAAGAGAGGAAACTGTTACGAACAAAATTCTTTGCTACGAAGGTTAGTAACTTAAAAAATCAAAACCCAAGACATGGTGGTCTTACATCAAACGTATCAGCGGAATGAAAACCTGCAACTTCAAATAGAAAACATTGATCACCTATATCGTCAAAAGAACTTGCCAATTTAATTAACAGCACCTTTCTGGAACCTACGAGCACCTATCAACCCCTACGAGATGAAGATCTATCCAACTTACATCAAGACGTTCCCATCGACCCTCCATCTGTAGTTAAAACTATAACTTCTCCGGCATCAGTGTTGAACATTCCAAACTGGATTATAAAATTATGGGGAGATTCTAGCATCCCCAATATCCAACTTGTTGAATATGTCTTACCAGGAACAAAAACTTCCTATTGTCGGGAAAAGAGCAAACATCACTCCTATCCCCAAAGAAAAACCTGTGCGTGAAATTAATAAACATCTTAGGCCAATTTCGCTTACTTCAGCAGTATCTAAATTGGCCGAGGATTTCACAGTCGAGAAATACGTCACCCCAGCTGTCTTATCTATAGCTGATCCAGCACAATTTGGAGGCATTCCGCGCTCATCGGCAACTCACGCGCTAATCTCGATGGTGCACAAGTGGTCGGAGGCCACTGATGGAACTGGAAATGTTGTCAGAACAGTATTATTTGATTACCGTAAAGCTTTCGATCTTGTTGACCACCTCATTTTGGCCAGAAAAGTTATCCAACTGTCTGTTCCATCTTTTGTAAAGAAGTTGATTTTAGACTTTTTATCAAACAGACTTCAACGGGTAAAACTGTCGAATGACTGTTTTTCGGAGTGGGGCGGTGTACCCACTGGTGTACCTCAGGGAACAAAACTTGGCCCTTGGCTCTTCATTCTTATGATTAATGATCTAAGAACTCCAGAGAGCGATTGTTGGATATACATCGACGACAACACAATTTCCGAAGTTGTAAGGAAAGGCAACTTGTGCACGATGCAAAACTCCGTCGATGTCGTACAAATTAAATTAGTCTATCACAAACAAGCTACAACTCCATGACTCCAAGTGTAAAGAACTAAGGTTTTGTTTTACAAGAACTGATCACGCTTCGCTACAGAGAGTGTTGTAGTCTGCGGTAACCAACTTGAAGTTGTCACCCACGCTAGGATTCTTGGTCTGACTATTAGCAGTGATTTGAAGTGGAATAAACATATTCTTAACACTATCAAGAAGGCGAACAAGCGGTTCTACTTCATTGTCCAACTGAAACGTGCAAAGGTTCCAACTGCAGATATTCTTAACTTTTATTGCGCATGTATTAGGCAAGTTTGGAATATTGCTGCCAAGTGTACCACTATGGGTTACCACTTACCATGCTATCTTTCTAAAGCCATTGAATGAGTGCAAAAACGTGTTATGTCTATCATATATCCTAATTAAGTTATGACGATAGCCTAGCTCTTAGTGGCATTTCTAAACTTGGTGGTAGACGCGAAGAAGCATGTATCAAACTTTTTAACGAATTAGTTAACATTCCTGATCACAAGTTGGCGTATCTCTAGCCCACTAAACAGGAAACAAAATATAACCTGAGGCAATCTCGTGTTTTTACGGACTATACTGTAAACACAAATAGATTTTTAAACACTTTTATCCCTTCGTCGGTTAAAACCTTTAATAGATTTAAATTGAGTTGATAATGTCGTGTAAATATTCTTGAATAATTGTATTTTAATCTATACTTTATGTAATTTGCGCGCAATTCAGCCCTGTAGCTGCAAAGTGTAATTTTTAATAAACTATTCTATTCTGTTCTGTTCTGTTCTGTTCTGTTCTGTTCTGTTCTGTTCTGTTCTGTTCTGTTCTGTTCTGTTCGAATTCTGTTCGTATTCTATTCGTATTCTATTCGTATTCTATTCGTATTCTATTCGTATTCTATTCGTATTCTATTCGTATTCTATTCGTATTCTATTCGTATTCTATTCTATTCGTATTCTATTCTATTCTATTCTATTCTATTCTAGCCATCCAATTCTACCAATTCTACATTCGTCAAGTTCGTGTTTATAAAAATACTCATTAAAATTCTTAATCGAAGGCTTTTGCGGAGGCGAGAAGTCCGCAAGATTGTTTACGCCCAAACTATATTCACTATTGGGTTTTATCGTCGCTATCTTTTGCAAAATCCCTTTATATCCCTTCATCGTAGGACCTTCCAACAGCAATCTTTCATTCTCATACCACCGTACATTGATATCGTTCTTGAACTCTTTACAACCTCCGCGAGGGACTTTCCACTTTCCCTTCATATTTAATATATCTTCGACGAAACGTTCTAGTAATTTAAAACCTCCAAGCCATTTAAGTTTGCCATCATCGCAAGTCAATGGATTTATTTTATTACTTTCATTTGAAGACATGTTTGGAAATTGATAAGGCGGTCTGGTATTGCTCAATATTGTAGGAGCTCTACAACACACGTCTGCACTGGTCAATCACGTTATTTTGATTTTGAGTTAAAACAGTGGAAACTCTACTCCAATGATGAAGTTAAAGTAGTGGAAACTCTAATAAAACCTCGCAATACGTTGAATTCAAATACACCTTTTATACTCTATTTCTATTGTCGTTTATGCTTTTGGGGAATTTTGAATAAACTGGGCTATCAGCAGGTTCTATAAATCAGAAATTTTCGTAACACAGAATTCTCACTGCGCATGCGTATAAGTACAATATCCACGTTCCACAGGCATTACAACAAACACCGCGGAAAAACGTCTGCGCATGCACCAAATATGAAAATATGGCGAGGAATTTGAATATCAATTTCTAAAACAAAAACATGCTTAATACTTGGTCAAAAATTAGTAAAACAAACGAGAAAATATAGCAAATGGGTAGACTAGACATTAATTGAAAGCGTCCTGGCATTTAAAGTATGGAATGAAATATAATTCATGTAAAAAATTGTTGATTTTAACGGACACGACTTCGAAAATTTTTGCAAAATTATTCAAAACAAAAATTCAAACTCAAAAGTTAAGAAAACTCTCGAAAAGTTAAGCTTCTTAACCCATTCAAAATGTAGAATAAATCCTAAAGTTTAATTATTGTGAACACGAAAATTTTTTATATTTGGCGACACAGTTTTTTTTAAAGAAATGTATCTCAAACGAAAATTCGGAAATTGTCGTTGCTTAGTTGATAAACAAAATGTTTCAGACGATAAATTTGTCAACAATCACCTTTAGTTCATGTTCTTGTACAATACAATTTCTTGAACCTTCTGGCTGCATTTATTCCTAGTTTTTAGAATGACATGTTTATTTTTGCGCTCGAAATCTGGCTGTAAAGACGCACAATGAAGTCACTCCTTTTTACCGCCATTTTGAGCCTTCGGAAACGTTCGGAACAGCTTTTCATCAAGTTCGCAATACTATTACAGGTAAGGTTGACGCATGCGCAGACGTTTTTCCGCGGTGTTATTACAACAACTTTAGTAGAATATATTTCAAGAATCGTGTAAATCAGTTTGTTAGCGGAGTAATAATAAACTGTAGAGATTTTCCTAAAATGCTAGTAATCGCTGGTCTCACTCGTTTAAATACGTCATAAGCGCGTGTAACTGGGGCCGGTTGTTCGTAGCCCGTTTAGGCTAAACGGTGGATAAGTCGAAAATACTGTTCAAGTTTATACATTCATCAAGAGTAACGAAACTAAAATATTTCAACTTGAGTAGGACAATTATGTTTGCAACTATATATTTAGTATAAAATGTGTGAATCTGTTATTTAATTTTGACTTATCCACCGTTTAAGCTAAACGCCTTTCGAACAACCGGCCCCTGATATGAAATAATAGCGAGCTTAAGCATGCAGGACGGCAATACGGCGACGATCGCCAAAACAAATTCCTTCAAATAAATGATAGTAAAGAAAACTTGTCGTATATTATAATTCGTATGAATTTAATACAGTATAAGAAGTTGAAAACATTGGTTTTATGTTTGGGAAGAGTTCTACTGAACCGAATTTTAAGTTGCACTTGTTACGGCTTCAAAGACAGGCGTTGTATAAACGACGTGAAAATCTGTGATTTGCCGTTGTAAACAGAACGACAACTACGTCTGAAACTCCCCCGGGGCTTTAATTATTTATTTCTTTTCATTGACTCATTGTATTGGTTGCTGTCGTCGTCGTGTTGCCGTCCTACATGCTTAAGCTCCCTAATATCCTGATGACGTAATGGGTGGAGCTCAAGTGCTCCACCCGCGCTAGAACCCTTCTTCCCTATAGTCCAGGGCTTTCAGAATTATTCTGAGTAGGTGTCTGTTTCGATAAAGAAGACGGCTGTTGGGAGGGGGCGGTCTACAGGGTGTCTAAAAAAATGTTATGGAAATTCAACAGGCTGTCGTGCATAATAAACGTGGCTAAACAATGCAGTTTTTACATAGGACGAAAGAACAGTTATTTAGCTTTTCAGTGATACTCTTTTTAAATCGTAACGATGAGAAATGACCACATACTCGTCACATAAAAATTGCCGGTCGAAATCACATTCTCCACCGTTGGGAATTGCATGGAAAACGAAACATAGATAATTCCCAAGAGGGAATTAAAAATGAGTGTTAAGTTATCTAAAATGAGCTCAACTCGTCAATCTTCGTCTTAGTGAGACAACACGAACGTCCATTATTGATTAAACATGGTTCAATTAACCACTGAACAGAGAACATTCGAAGTAATCAAAACGTTTTACGAAACAAAAACCTTGCAGCAGGCTC